TGAAATGGGAAGAATTGTTTGATAAAATGTTTTGGTTATATTTCATTTACATAACAAAATGGAAAATACTTAAAACAGTATGCATTATTAACACTCCACGTGGTTATTGCTGCATCATTCTCTTATGTAAGCTACTTCTTGAAGTCGGTGTCAGACCATCTGGCTTTGTGCACTTTTAATGAAAACCAAGCAGTCTCTTGCACTGAACTGTTTGCAGTTGTCTTTGCAGTGAGCAATGTACAATGCTATATACGAACTGTGCTTGACTTTTCATTATAAAGTAAACCATGCGCATCAGTATATAGGAACTACAGCACGTACATAGCATTTTTGATTTTAGCTTTCTCCTTACTTCTATAAATAAATGTTTTAAAAGTTCTTATTTTTCTTTGTTTAGACTAAAATGCTATTAAAAAGTGAGACCCACAGCGATGGCAGCATATGGTGCCTGAAATAAAATCTTTTCTTGCCACAAAAGGAAATGTTCATATTAGATTTTTTTTCTCTCCTCCCCTCTGATTCTCCATCAGGGAGCCTTTTGCAATTTAATCATCACTAAAATCATTAAAAAGATCTGAAGATTAAATTATATTGGCATTTGCAAAATTATGTAATACATTTACATTACAATGAAGAAATTAAAATAATGCATTTTCGCTGTCTGGGGTGTATGAAATCTCCACATGGGAAATATAACTGGAGAAGTGGACAGACTTTTTTTTGCCTTTGGTGGCAGTTAATAGGCTAGCAGAGTTTCAGATTTCATTGTGTGAACGTTTTGGCACTATCCTTCTTTGATGGATGTTTCTGAAATGGAAACTCTCAATAGAATTTTAGAATTATGAAATGAAAATGCTTTTTTGAAGAGGAGGGCAGGCAAAATTGAATAGAGATTTGACATACTTTCTCTAAATTGTACTTAAAATTTGTGAGGAACTTGGGAAGTATTTAATTATATATCGTGATAGCAAAAGAGCAATTTGGTGTTTCCCATTGAAACACAGTCACTTCACACTCTCTGAATGTCTTAAAAGTGTGTTTTGATTCCAGGGCTGACGGACGAGGAGGTAGAGTTGGCCATCCAGCGCTCTGGCAGCACAGAACAAGTCCTGACTCTGAATCCCACAGGGCCTCCGCATCCCCTCTACGCAACTCGGCTGCCTCCTCCAGCTCACAGTGAGTACACACCACGTTTTCTCCCCTTTTGTATCTGATTTATATACACAGTATTAATATTTATGTGATGTGCACTGTCTCACCTGAAAAAAAGAGTTTGTTGTTTTAATTAAAAACTTAGATCCTTGTCCAGTGCAGGTTTGCATTTACAGATCTTCCTTCTTGTTTTTATTAATTTAAACTCTCTAAACACTATTATCTGTACCTCACCAAATACCAGAATCTTAGAAGGATTAAGCTTCGGTGCTGAATTCAGACACATGGAATATAACATTGCACAGCCCAAGCTCTCTTGCCATTCTGTTTCAAGGGGTTCCACCCTGGCAAGACCCCACACCGCAACCTGTATCTTTATTACCTCAGGAGGTTATGAGTGCTGTCCACTGATTTACCAATGCAGAATGAAGTCCGCATAATGCTTAACCCATATGACAATGATTCCAGATGTATTCCACCCTCATTTATTACCACACTGTCCTTGACTCCCCTGGCATCTCATGTTTTGTAATGAAAGTGATGTTGATGGGATGGCCATGTAGTTAGGGAGACTAGCGACTCTCCGTCCATAGTGGAGGGTTTTATATCAAAATGGCTATAAGGGAGCTGCATAATGAGGTGAGAGCGGAGAGTCTTGTATGGGGGGTCATGTTGAAAAGAGGGGGCTACCTCCCTTTGATGTCCTTGTTATGGGAACGGTGCACAGAGACCTGCATCCATCTCTGTCGAAGTAATGGATACTCTGATCTCTATTTTCACGAAGCAGAAGGACAGGAAGGCCTCCACTGAACCCAATAAATTTGAGAGGAGATTGGAAAAACGGGGGATGGAGACCACAGTTCCACAGCTTAAGTGACCAAATAAAAAAAGGAAGATGGCAGAGTGGAAGTAGTAGAGGAAAAAGGAGAGACAGAGGAAGAATGAAAGGTCCTAACCGGGGGGGAAGAGCAAGTTAAGCTCTCTGGTGATGCAGAGAAGCTTGTTCAGGGTCACCCACCTATCCCAAGGACTCCTAGGCCTTTCAGAAGCATGGTATTCTGGGATTGGTGACAAACTGTCGTAGCTATAATGTTGATGAAGACCCAAATTTATGTGGTTACCATATGGATGTTGGGGAATGATTCAAAATTTTTGATAGAAGAGGTTACAGGTTCGTCCCTGAATGCTGCAGTAGCAATGAGACATGCCCTTGAGTATGGAGAATGATGTAGCATTTACCTTGAAAATATACAATACAGTCCAATATGACAGTAGGTCTCGCATTCTATTTGCATGTCAGATCACACAAGTGGTAAGGCACAAGATCAATTTGATTTACTTACTTCAAGCCAGTAAACATGTACCACATAACCCATTAGGTGAAATCAGACCTGTAATAGAATATCAGTGTTGTACTTCAGTGGCTTAGCCTCTTAATAATGTCCTATTCATTTGTGCCCCCACCAAAATAAATATGTCTTCCAGACCTGTTTGTTGTTTAGTGATATTTCCAGCTGAGTGCCTCTCTTTAGTGGGGGATTTCCACTATGACAGACAGTTGGCCTACCCAGTTGACAGCTTGCACAATGACACACTTTCACATTATCTGTCACTCAGCAAGACAGTCAACTTCTAAACACACCATCACTTTCCTTTCGGTTCATTTCAGTTGTTTAAAGGTTTATACAGTGTATCCATACACTGTATTTGGCCCCATCCCAAAATTAATGGAAGACAATGGTGTCCTTTCTGGAAGAGGAGGGTAGAGACTACACTACTTGTTTGCAGACTTGTGCTCATTTGGTTCATTGTATGGTTTTAGTGTAGATGCAATGATTATAACATCACAAGTCATCACACTGTGTATAAGAATTTTGGAAGTTATTTTCTGAAACTATAATTTCTTTATCTTAAATGACTATTCAGCAACAGTGGCTGTAAATATATCTTGCAATGGGAATAAAATGCTCTCTAATTCTTAAGTAATTCTTTAATTATTAATAATTCTTAAATGTTTTGGAATGTAAGACTGTTTAACTCAGAAGGACATGTACAATTGCAGGGTTTTCCTTAGCACAGAAAGGATTAGGCACAGGGTTACTGCAGAGCGCCTAATCCGAATGAATGTAAAAAGGCGGCATATCAGAATTAAATTAAAAACAACGGCGTGTTATATGTGCTGAAAAATAGCATAGAGGGGATTTGGTCTCAAAATGAAACATAAGCTAGCAACAGAAATGACCTGTCAATCAACAATCAGTGTTTAGATGAACATTTGTGTGATTGGCAGCATCGCCAAGCTAATCAAACAGCTGATTGGATATTTCTCGGCACTGTCAAGTCAGGATGGTAGTTGCAGCCATTGATAAGGTTAACCTCCACAAAGAATACATGAAGTAGGCTCTAACTTTGTTGGGGAGTAATTTTTCAGCGCAAGGCCTAAGCCACTTGAAAACCTAGGGAATACCCTGCAATTGATAATTATTGACATTATTGACAGCTGTACATAAACATTTCCTGAAATGTGTAAAACAGTTTGTTTGTAGGAGAAGAATGACAAGTGCTGTTATGTTGCACAGAAGAAACTAAATATTGTGGAGTGTCAGTAGTGTTTTGAAAATTAGAACTATCTGAAAATTGAGCCAAACCTATAAAGAAAAACTGTAGTGTAGTGTACAATGTATGTGATTTTGCGCTGCTGGCCAGTGTTAACACTCGCTTATACAGTATGGTTTTAATGTTCCATGTCACAGTATGGTCACAAGTTAATGCATTCAGTATGCCTATGCTGGAAGCATTCATGTTAACAACATAAAAACTAAAGTAAATCAGCCCCCAGGTCTGTATTTTGCCATGGTCACATAATGCATCCTCTTCTCCAGGTCCAGTGGGCTACAGATGGCGAGACTATGGTGCCCTCACCATCATTGTGGTGGGCATCGCCTTTAGCTTTCACCAGCTTTACAAGGCAAGTTACACCCTGCTTTACCTGCCCTTTGGACTGTTTCCTCACTTTGTTTTCACATTTAGTGCTTCTGTAAGATTTGATATACACATTTTACTTGGCATCCTGAGTTCTGTCAATACTGCCTCGCCCTAAAACTACATTTAAATAGGTGAGTTTAGCAAGTGCATCAGTTCATGATGAATTATGCGGCTAGAATAGAAGGTGCCTCTGCACTATGTAACATCACTTTGGTCTTGTTATTAAAGCTGCCCTATATTATGTCAAAGCATGATCTCATTTGAACTTCTTTTTAATTTCCCCTTCCCTCCTTTTCTCAGATATGTATTTTTCCTTTAAAAAATATAGTTGCTAACACAACACACAACCCCTTTTTGACGTCCTATCGTCTAAAAATAATCACCCTGGTTTTTATCAGGCTTAGCAGCCCTTGAACATGAGCTCATGAGGCCCCTTGTCCCCAGTGACATTAATCCCATAGTGGTTGTTAGTAGTCTGAGTGGCATGTGGAAGCCATTACTCTCGTTTTAGAGAAGAACAGGAGCTCTGGCAGTAGTTCTTGGCCTAGATGACAGGCTTCTCATTTCACCCATCACTGTGTTTTCCTCTGTGTGTGTGTGTGTGTGTGTGTGTGTGTGTGTGTGTGTGTAAGAACATGAAAGGGAGCACATATCGTATACATGAATATGTCTGCATGACCCTGTCAGACATATTGGCTTCTCTTTATATCCCTTTATGTCCTATTATTTTATTCCTCTTTAAATAGCCTTTCATAAGGCTGTGCATGCACATTCAGGACTTTCTCTCTCATATTCCTCTGTCCCTGTGGTCTTCATTGACGAAAACACACACAGTCTACTGTTTTCCTACATGCAGCAGGGTTTGCCAGCCACTAGTCACCTGGGAGGTGGAATCCCCTGGTGGGACAGCACAGGTTGCTGTCATGTCACTGGTGCGTAGCGCCAGTCGCACCATATGTCCAGGCTTCTGCCCATACTTTACTTATGTTATTGTGCATCTTGTAAACACCACACTCCCAGCAACCCACTTATTAATTACCACGTGTTGACACTCATTTAATCTTTTTCCCTAAAAAGTGTTTATTACTTGCACTGGTGTGGCTGCTTGCCATCCGAGCTGGAGGAAAAAACCCAGCTTGGACGCCAATGAGTTGCACCTGGTTGCAAAACATCGGGTGGCCTTTATTCAACCTTAAAACAAAAAACATTTTATGATTTCAAATGCAGTTCATCTGAGCCTTTCAGGGTCACATGGGCAACATTTTATTTGGCAGGTTTGGCTCCTCACTAGGAGTTGGAAAACTGCTCATCTAGGTAACTCTCGCACTGGATTACAAACATTCTTGTTTGGCTGTCAGACATACAGTACATATGATTTCAAAGAATTCTGTTTATTCAGTGGCAAAGAGATGATAAGCAACATGGCGTTTTTGGTTTTGGAAGACTGTCAGTGTTCACCACTGTGTTCCCTGAAGACCTGTCTCCATTTACTGCTCCATTCATTTATATTGCTGGAAGTATGTTTTTATGGTTGTAGCCAACAATTACTTTCATTATACATTGGTCTGATAATTTTTTTGGATTTACTGCACAAAGTGTCCAGTCTAGGCTATACATAGAAAATTGTCAAACATTTTTCAGAACCCATGGTTGCACTTTCATGTTGCTTTTTTATTTGAAGAAGTGTTCAAAAACCCAAAGATATTTAATTTACAATAGTATTAAAATTGAGAAAAGTGTTGCGTATTTAACATTTAGGCTTAATAAATAACTGGCTATCAAAACTGATTAATTTGTTAATTGACTAATGGCTCCAACAGTAGATGTGTGCCAATAAAAGTTGTTTGGGAATTGCTGTAGACATGCATAACACATAATCATGCTCTTTAGACAATGAGGCACTAGTCCAATAAAATAATGCCAATGACCCTCTGCTGCCAAGTCTAGGTGGCCCTGTCTTTTCAGCATCTTTCTTCACCTTTCCAGAGAGAAGTGTAATTTTGTGCCATTCTTTTAATTGCAGAAATACATCGTTCCCCTCATTATGGGCAGCCAAGAGGACAAGAGGCATCTGCAGAGGATGGAGAGCAACATTGCGGCAATGAGTGGCACGCTGACACAGACAGGTGAAGATTAATATCTTCATCACTTTCTCCCTCCTTAACATTTTCCCTCATTTATCTGTCGCCAAAATCGGGGGGCCCTGCACGTTTTTAACAAATGACGCTGCTGTCATTTTGCTTTAATTTGAAATTGCTTGTTTACTGTCAGGCTCGGGCTCAATTAATTACGTTTCGCTGAAAAGCTCTTAACCTCAGAATATTAATGAGCAGTTGGGAAATGACAACTTTTCTTCCCCTCGCCCATCCTCTCTCACTCTCCCCTTCCATCCGTCTCCCCATGCACCAACCTCTCCCCCATTCAAACCTCCACCACCATCATCATCATCCACCCTCTTCCCCGTAGATGGCGAGAAAGTTCATTTTAATTTGGTGTGTGTGTAGGATGTACGTGCGGCATGGCACTGTGTGACATCTGGGCTCAGCACTGGCCCTAGTGTGATTAAGTGCACGGTGACAGGTGCGGCTCCCATGTTGGACAGGTGAGGAATCTCAACCTGGCTGTCAGACATGGAGAGAGAGCAAAGCAGGGAGTGAGATGCTTTTCCAGTTCTTCATCAGTATAATTAAAAATCCAGGGAGGCGTAAATAATGGAGGCACTTTGAGAAAGTTTGGTCTCGTTAGCAGTAGTGTTGAACTGGAGTGTGTTTTCACCTGAAAGGCACCAATCCCCATTTGAGATACTGTAGCTGGCCTGGCAGAACAATAGGCTGCAGTTAGAAGAAATATATTTTATTTTGTAGAGCACTTTTCAATATACTCAAATACTTTACGTGGCATGTTAAGAATCTAAGGGGCTAAAAAACATTAAAGGCATAAAGTAATGGGACACTGAAACATTAAAAGCATTTCCAATCAGTAAGTTTTGAGTAACTTTAATGACATTGTAGAGCTTTGATAACATATTATATAGTTGACATGAGTGTTTGGATTTTTTTGTATTTTAATTGAATGAATTCCATTTTAAATTTAATCAGGTCACAGTCAAGTGACATGATCAGTGTGAACCTGCGTATGAGATATCAAGCAAGGTAAAACCTTCTGTTCATTGGTTGTTTGTCTAAAATGAGCATCAGTAAAGCAAATGTCTTGCAATTTTTTTTTAAAAGTTTTGTAGAAACACTCAAACTTATAAATGCGCCAGATGTGTTTATTAGGGTGTTGAGCATAAGAGAGACAAAGAGCAACCAATCTTGATAAATGTGATCTTTTATAAGTTTAAATACAGGCATCTTTTGATTTTTTTCCCCCCTTTCATATTCAAATTAAAACAAATTAAGTGTTTGAACTTACAGCTCCTGTCATGGATCAGTGTAATATAGATGAAAATATGGCTTTTTTCATTTTATTCAGTCAGTCACACCCATGCTTTTGTTTTCTGGCTGGCTAAGGTAGATGAAGGACAGCACTCGTGACATTGCATGCAAGGTGTGCCACCCTGAATCTGATTAACAAATAGATGCTCCTTTATGGTTATTTTTTCCCAGCTATGCAAACACATTTCCTCAGGCTATTTCACTGCCCATTCTTGCTCTACTTATCACTTTTTGGAGATTGGCCAACTTACAAACCCTGTTTTGTTTGTAAGTAAAGACAGGATTTCAGAGTAAGAGTCCTCTTGTGCTTTGCAGAGAGTAGGTGAGGCTTCATTTTTTTCAGCCAGTGTGGGGAACTAATTTGCTATGACTGCAGTAGCCAAGCTGCTATTGTAGTTAATGACTGTTGTAGTTAACAGTTGGGGAGAGGGGTTGCAATTACATTGAGAGTTTTCTCACCCTGCTTTCCCTTTGTCTTCCTCTCCCTCTCGCTCCTTCTCTCTTTGCTGCACTGAGTAATAGCGACCGACTGCCTCACTGCTGCCAATTGCTTGAACCCCCTTTTGTTAAAGTTCATGTATTTCTCTAGTGCTGGGTGCAGTGAGGTGATGTATCCTTTTGAATGGGGACTACATTAGTCTCTCTCGCCAGCCACAGCTCGAGAGTAGGGGCCTTGACTCCCATTACGATTTGCCTACAACTTCACACAGACAATTAATGAATGGATCTTGGAACTACTTCAGCGCATCCAGGCTGTAATGGAGTTGTGCGGCTGTTTGGGCATTTTTTTTTCCCGATGGGAGCCATATTGGTGACCAGCTGGCCATTAAAGGCAGAGACAGTCCTGGACATATGTAGTGTACATTATATCGAGGTATTTACTGAATAATTTACTGAATACACACTGTGCACCCTCCTCATAGCAGCTGCAAGCCTCGCATATCATCTTGTCTCCGCTTCTTTCTCTCACACAAACACACACTGCAGCTACACCCTTCTTCTGATTCATGCCTGGCCAAAATCATTGACTTCATTACTCTTGGCTTCATATCTCTGATAACTGGGGATAAGAAGTTATGCATTTTTATCAAGTCTGAACAGTGCAAAGGAGCCAACTTTGTGGAGAGACATGAAAAGAGCTGGACTGTTTGGCTGAGGTGGCAGAATAAGCAGTGCCAATGGTAATTCAGGAGGCACAACATTGCATGCTGGCAGACTGACCCACACATCTGGATAAGCTGTTTTGTGGTGAGGCAGAATCAGAGAGTAATAGTGCAGCTTTTGGTTTACCCTGTCATAGTCTCACCTCTTTAAACAGATGCCCAAGGTATTTTAGTTTTATTACGTCTTCAAAATAGCTGGTCACACTGGCTCACACACGAGTAACAAACTCAAATTGTTTGCACAGTGGCTTTTGGCCCCAACCGATGATCCTGCTCAAACTTGTATTCCATAGGATTCTGCAAGCATGAAAAGATCAAACGTTTCAGCACCCCACCTATATTGATACAACTCCACCCATTTAAACACAGGTGTCACTACAAGATATTAGTGTCTTTGAAAGATCAAATATGTTTTCTGTGTAGTTTTTTTTTTTTTTTGTTCAAACGAAACACAGCCTTCAAGCTTGGCTCTGTCTTTTGTCCCGGCTGAGTTAATGTGAAAGGAGGATTCTGTACATCCCGTCCAGCCGGCGGCAGCTCAGGCTTTTAACCATTGGCCTGACAACCTCAGCAGCGGACCGCCACAATATCTGTTGATGTTAATCCTGTTAGGCTTGATTTAACACTTTCCACGCCCATGATTTATATGAATGTTTATTGGTTTTATGTAATATAATCAGCTCGGGGAAACTTAATGCATTGTTTGGTAATACACGCGTGACTGGAAGCAGGGGGCAACAAACTGTGCCCGGTGTTATTTGAAATCATACACCCTCGTCCAACACCAACACTTGAACTAATTCAATCTTCAAAGTCAATGGAAAAAGAACAATATTTATTAGGATTAGGGGGGACATTTTGTCTGGCAGCCTCCTCCCAAATGAGAGTCTTGTTTTTTCCTTTGTTGATCGTTTGAGGATTTAAGATGCATTAGAAGGCAGTGTCTGGGTGGATAATGGATGGTTAGAGACTGTTATTTGATTTAAGTTCAGACACTAGAGATTAATATCTCCATCCTATGTGCCCCTCTTCCCACCCTGTAAACCCCAGCACCTCTGACCAAAAATCCATGACTGAAGTTACTGGGTATTAGCTTTGATTACAATTCTTAGAGGACAGCTTTGATCAGTGACAGAAGTTGAGACCCATCATTTCTGTCTTTATCTGCTAAAAGAGAATGTTCAGTTTTATGGCACCAAAACAACAGAATCCTACTTCCTTTTTTATGTTTTTGCAGTTACCTGTATTTACTGTCTATTGTTCTGCTTGTTTCCACAGTAAGCCAGCTGCAGCAGACCCTGGTCTCCATTCAGGAGCTCCTGGTCCAGCAGCAGCAACGAATCCAGGAGCTCTCTCAGGAACTAGCTGCGGCAGAGGTAGCTACTGCCCCAGATCATTTGCATTATGGCAGAAGACCAGTGGTTTCAGTTAAACCGCTGAGATTCTTCCTGTTTAGCTTTCTTTTTCTTTTTGCATCACCTTTGATTTGTGTTATTATAAAGTGAACTGCAAACTTAACAACAAGGAGATGAAACAACTTTACAAAGCGCTGTTGTTCTTTGGACATGATCATTTTCCAAAGAACAGCTTTAAGGTCTGTTACGTTCTGATTGATGCTTTTGAGGAAAGCTAGACTGTTATCAACTTTGAAATTACAGAAGAGCTCAGTTAAATATAAAGTTGCAGACTGAAATCCCTGATTGATGAGTTGAGAGAAAAGCTTTCTCAAGGCCTTTGTGTACTAAAATCTCTTGAGCTGCCACAAGTCATAACTATCTGAGATGGACAGCATTATTGTACTGTATATCATCAGAACACAAAAAAGTATGGTGCATCTCATCATATGACCATAATCTTTACCCATATTGTCATTCCTCTTTGCTTTGATTTTTATGGACAGTATTCATAATCTACTCAGAATTTTAGGTGAATTGGACTGAGTGATTGTTCTAAAAACTTATGTGCAGGGATAAAATGTTGCGTGCTTTTTATAACGCTGCTCATAAATTGCTTTATGATTTCTGGGCTCTAAAAGGGGTGCCTTGGAAGAGGCGGTCTTAGACAATGTTTTATGTCCACAGCTTGTTAAGCACATGGGTGTTTCACTAAAGCATCTGGATATCGCAGCGAAACATATGCGGACACATCTGCTTTGGCACAAATGAGGAAGAAAAATATGAATCTCCTCCCTGGACGAGGTTCATCAAAAACCGACGACTCATAGCTCATTTTGTTCGGTTTCAACTTCTGGATGTTCGGTGTAGAAGCGGTGATGGCCCAAATCAGCATGTGTGAGTACATAGGAGTGATTATCTGACCGAATGTAAGTTTTCTGTCAGGCAGACTGTCGGTACACTTGAAACAATGAGCTCCCTCCACAGCAGAAAGCTTAAGGAATGTTATTTCTTTTCATTCGTCATCTCCAAAATGCAGATTGGATTAAAAATTGTCTACTTCATTTGCTATGAGTGCCTTGTTGGACAGCAGTAGTCTGTAAAAAGTATATTTCACATCAAAACACCCATTAAACAAATCATAAACTCTGCTTTATAGCAATCATGTTGATTTTAAATGTTCCCTGTGAGTCGGCACAAGGCCGTTTGTTGTCCCAGGCCATGGGAGAAACTGGGAAATTGTTTTCAGGTTCAGGATGTTTGATGAGAAACACATTTTGGGGCTGGAGAGCTACTTATCATTCACTGTTTGCGGCTTTTGTGGTTTGCCTCACTGTGCCGCTCTAAATGTGCCACGCTTAGCAATTATATCTTTCAACGCGGAAATGTGACTTTAACCCGAAACACATGGAGACTTCTGTTTCCCCAGCTGCTAAGTAAACATTTCTCGTAGTTTGGAAACCACTCAGTTGTGGAGCGCGTTTACTGTACCTAAACTGGGGACCTCATTGTGAAAGTGCTTCTAGACAGAAGTGACTCATGTACACACACACACACACACACACACACACACACAGCACACACAGATGTTGCACATATCTAGACTTCAGCGCTTGGGACAGTTTCTCTTGTATTCACAATTTTCTCTGCTATTATAACCTTTTAAAGACAGGCTGCTGTATTCTGCCCCCTGGTGTTGAGGATAGATTTGCCTCTAGATGATTCATCCCCGTCATTAAATATCAACGTCTATTTCTGCTCCATTATCATTACAAATCTGCCTGTTAACTCTGCTTGCCCTGCTGTCTCAACTCACTGATCATTCTCTTTATTAGTGGATACTACATGGAAAATTAGAAACCGCCTCCTTGCTTGCATGAGACAAACTGCCAGTGGGAAAGTGCATAAATAGAGTAAAATCAATTGCACCGTACCAGTGTTTCCACTCAAAAACACTCCTCTGGGGACTTCCTTTTGAAACTAATTCCATCATAAATAAACATGCGTTACACGAAAACACACTGTCTGCCGGCGGAGTAACTGTGAATTAATTTGTCTTCAGACACTCTTAAACAAGGCTTGTTAAAGATCTTATCTTGTTGCTAATGGTCCACAGGCATTTATCTTCATTTAGCCAGATGCGTTGCTGTCCTTGGGTGCTGCTGGAGTTGATAGTCTTCTTTTTTTTTTTTTTTTTTTTTGTTGCTTGTAACATATTTATATCTTTTTTCCTGAAACACTTAGTTAACCAGCTGAAAGAGGTCGACCCCTATACACCCAGGCACCCACTGGAGACATATTAGTTGCAAGTCTTTTAAGCCAGTTAGAGGAAATCTTTACTATGCAGTATTTACACTGTTTAAAAACACATACAGCCAGAGCAGTGGTGGTCAAACATAATATAGAGATTCTCACACCCATAAGGAGCTTGAAAGATCTTTATGTTGTAAGCTTTCTCCTCTTTTGTTTTTGTCTTTTCTGTGTCACCTGAAGATGTGCTGTACCTTTTGTAAAAACAGTGGCGTCTTGCCATCCCATGTGGGATGGGCCAGATGTTTGGCACAGCACAGAAATAAAATAAAACAAACTTAATAAATAAATCAAGTCTTTAGAAGAGAATGCAATATCCAAGTTTCAATGGAGAAGGAGCAAATGGTTTTGTCATGAATATTCTTTGAGTAAATAAATATTAAATGTAAAGATAATAGTGTTTAAAAACAGGCAATATATAAACACTATGCATTTGTATAGAAGAAATAAGATTGTAAGAAAACACATTGCTCCGTGTTAGTAAAAATAGCATACTAAAAATGGTAAAGTTAAAATTAGGTACAGCATTAAAACAATATTTGTTTTTACTGGTAAAATGATCAATGGTATTTTTGTAACCAAAGCTCCTGAATCATTGCAGAGGTTAAATATTTTGATCAGCAGTTAGAAACTTACACACACATGCAGGTTATTGAATATGTGTCAGGATGTCAGGTGGGGCTTTTAAAGTTGGCGGTGCACTTTCAGTATCTCCAGTCACTGATACCCCACCACTCAGCCCTCATCCAAGTAGCAAGTGCACTTAACACAAGTTTCTTACACAATACATGTGTATAAACACTGACATAATATATCTCAAAGCTGAAATTCAGTCCTGGCCCAACATTTAATTAGGTTGCTTCAGACTTAATAAGACATATGTCAGGGGTAGTGTTGTGTGACAAGCCTTGACATGAGATATTATATGGTACTGCTCCGTATAATGCACATTATGTATGTAGCTAGTGGTGAACAGTTCTGTTCTAAAGCCTTTTAATTCTATAGTAAGTGAGATATGTATATAGAAACCCTCATATTTCAGTTATTTCAGCTGATTCTCTGTCTTGGAAGTCTTTCAGCTCAGGCTATACAGTACAGCAATTAATTTTTTTTCTAAGTAAAATGAGAGAGAAGCAGAATCCAGCCTTATTATACGGGTGCCTTGGGGAGGCAAGGGATTAAGATGGTTCTAATGAGGTGATGGCTGTAATAAGAGTGTCTTCAGCAGGCCTCCATTGCACTACCTCTAAAACATGGCCCCTTATCCGTGAAAAAAAAAAAAAAAAAAAACCCCCCCTCCCCTCCTTCTTCTCCTTTTCTCTCTCTCTTCACTTCTCCTCCTCTGCCTCCCTCCTTCCACTGCAAATAGGTCTGATCCCTTTCTGATGTGATTCAATTAATTTCTCTTAAATTTAATTACAAGTGAAAGAGTCCAAGTTATCCCTCTCCCCTCGATAGGGGGTCCACACTTTCTAACAAGCTTCCTCTGGTGAGTCAGGAGAGTCTTAATTACAGTTTTCCCTATTCTTTTATCCCACTTTTCCCTTGTCTTCCTTTCCTCCCTCTGGTCTCATCAGTCTATCCCCCTGCTCATGCACATGTTTGGGTTTTTATTCAGGAACAGCCTAAGAATGGGGAGCAATTATCTACCTCACTGGTTCTCAACCATTTTGGCCATACAGTGCACACTCCTGACACCTTAGCACAGGTTGCGTTTGTCTATGAACAGTTCAGCAATGATTGTTTCATCTGAGTGGAGAGTCATGAACAGGTAAACCAGTATTTAAAAAACATTATTTGAACAAAGTCAGGGAAAAGTAAATTGTATTCTGTGAAGCCTGAGGTTAATCATCTTGTGACCTCTCAGATTTATCTTAACACCCCTTGGGGTGCTGACCTTCAGGCCTATAAGGTCTTCCTCATTTGAGTTGTTTTTATAACTTTTCAGTGACCTAACAATCTAAAGGACTTTGCAGTGCAGTTCAGTTTTATCATTGTGTTTGACAGTTGCCATGTGATGTTTTTTCCCCTCTAGGCCTTTATTAAAATTCACCATTTTATAGCTCCCTCTGTCAAAGTCCTCCTGCCTATCCCTAAAAAAATGCTGCGGTGATAGATTTTCAGCAGTAATTTGCTATTCAAATACTTTGCCATTATACCCCATAGCATTTCGTGCTGCACCAGTGTGCATGATAACACAGGCCTTTGATAAAAGACAAAAAGAACAAACCAAACTGCTAAGGTCTGCCTTTATGAATGTGGCTATTGTTCAAGATAAAGTCATTATCCAAAACACTGGACATTGGCCCAATCCTTTTTTAGATAGTATGGAAAATTATGTAAAAACAGCATGATTGACTCACTGGACCTTCTGAGCAGTTGAGACCATAGACATGGCTGCACGGGGATTGTTTGACCTCCTTAATGTCATTACCAGCAGTAAGCAGTTGAGGTTGTTATGATGGATGACCTGACTACATAAAAACATGTGGCTTTTAGCATTTGCATTGGCCATGTTTGTTTATTTTGAATCCTCTAACCTTAACGCTTTTTTTTTTATACTTCATGTTGACTGAACATGGAGGAGTAGTTAAAAAATAAACTTATATTGACTTTTTGATACAACCCTGTATGTGACCTGTGGACAGTGCGTGTTTGTGCATCTCTGACTGTTGTTGTGTGTGTTTTTCCTATAGGCGTCAACCTCAACCAGTCGCATCCTGGACACCCAAACAATTGGAGAACTGAAGGCTGAGATCGTCTCTTTGAAGGGCTTACTGCTCAGCAGGTAACAAAGTTAGCCAGGCCTCCCTCACATGAAACAGGGCAGGTGTATGTGTTTGTGTGTGTGTGTGTCTTTGTTGAAGAGCTTAGGAGTTTGCATTTTCATGCACTTTCGAGTCCATGGATGCAATCCGTTTCAAGCGTTTGACAGTGTTAAACAGGAATAAAGCCCTGTCAACTTGATGTATACTGTAATTTACTCAATCGTGTGTTTAATTAGTATATTTATTCAGATATATTTGCCACATATCATTTATACCCAACATTAAAACACTTATTTAACTGTCGATTTAATATGATATTGCTCCTTTAAATTAGTCTTGCACTTATTCTTTTGTTTTACACATTTAGAAACTATAATTTGACAACTCTTTACTCAGTGAACACTTCCTTATTTTTTCTGCCGCTTTCAGTACTCAGTTGTTAACAAGAGGTAATCCTAGTGTGGTCTGGGATAGCCTTGATCTGACAACTAGTTTATAGGCTTGACAAACTGATATAACTGAGGAAACTCCCATCTGCTGAAGAAACGTGTGAGATCTGGTAGGGAAAAAAAAAAAAAAAAACAGTAAAAGACCTTGAGCTAAGACTTTTCTTTGCCAACGTGCCTATATTGTTCCTGGAGTTATGAGTTTAGATTGCAGAGACCATGTACATATAGTAACGACAAAATAACCATCATGCATTCATTTTTGCACACTCTCTCACTACAATACAGAACTGTTGTAGATGGTCTGAAAGCTTGTGTTTATGTATGAATAAATAAAATAACATAATGTCACATTACTCTTCCAAATTGCCTACTTAAAGCATAAACATTCATCTCAAATATGTTTAATCTCATAGGCACTAGAGGTTATAATACTGATTGCACCATTTCTTTTACTTCACAACTTTGCTCGACCAATTAGCATACTGCAGACATCAGCTGGTCTTGCGTGTTTTAATGCTTTTATTGTTGAGCAGGAACCACATGTGCATAATTAACTCCTGTGAAACTCTCATTGACTGAGTGCAAAATAAAAGAAATATAAAAACTCAAGAAATTATTTATGGGAACTGACAAATCAGCTGTGTTTGGATCAACATGCTGTTTGTTTCATTTACTCGCGTATTAATATGAGGTATAAGACATTTCATTGTTGTTAAGTCTCACGCTATACCTCCAGACATCTCCTCATCCAGCTTTGTTCCTCAATCTAGTCAGGTGCTGCTGAGCTCAAGTCATTTCCATTAGCATGCATGATTATGTATCGGTGTCTATAATGAAGCCTCAAATAAGAGTGCACACCAGAAAACCGGTGAGGACGAAAATTACCTGAGAACTGTCTAGTTGAGCCCGTTTTGTTTCCCTTGTACATTCTAATCAGTAATAATCCCTTTTGTCATTTGCTTTCTTGACTTTACCCTCACTTTCACAGTGTGTTTTCTGGCAAAGGCTTGAATCACAAAATACATTCTCTGCATCACCATCTGTCTCCCAGCTTGTTCTCTTCCAGTTCAAATGATCCGCATCATGTCCAAACTGTTTTTTTTTTTTTATTTTACCACCAAGAAGTGATGATCCTATTATGATATGACACCGTCTTCTTGATCTTAAAAGCCGCAGTGGGTGTAATTAAAAAATTCTTAGAGCATCTTTACCAGGTGTAATGAACATCTGGTTGTTTAGGGGAAGAAAGCCATTTTCTCTACTATAATTATAAAAATTGTATAGGGTGCTTTGTGTGTGGCTGTGTGCTGCACAGATATGTTCACTCAAGTCCCGACTTAGTTTTGTGGTTGTAGTTTTCCCAGTTATGATGGATTATATTGTAAGAAAAGCTGCTTGCACACGTTTTGAGCATTTTTGATGAGGTTGTGATCAGACTAGGGATGTAAAGGTAAAAATCATGGTTCGTTCATTGGCGGTACAGGAAGTAGAAAAACGAGTCAAAATTGCTTGTCATTTATTATGAACTTTTGTAAACATCAAGTGTTCATAATTTTTAATGAAATTTTAAATCATACATAAAATATGTAAAATAAATACAATTAAAAAAATATAATACTGCTGCAAACTACTGCTAATAATTGCTCCAATAACCAGGGAAAGGCTGATTACAAGAAGAAGGAAGCAACGTTTGTACTCTGCTCATTTTTTTTTCCTTGCAGCAAAAATATTCACATTTTCATACCCATTCAGTTAAGTAAGCAAGTTTCATGTGTTGCCAGAAATATTCGCGATTACCAGTGAATAAACATATTAAGTGGTGGACCAGAGCGCAGTAAACAAATAAGACGCCTTATCTATTTGTCGTATTTCGCTGGGAAGCTGAAATGTTCTCAGAAAGGAGATCGTAATGATAAGGGAGGGTCTTTTAGATCTGACTCTTGTCTGCACTCTGGCTTGGCTAAGCTAGTCCAAAGTGCACTCCAGTCTACCACTTAATATGTTTGCAAGGGAATGCAAATTTATAAAAGAATGTTATGCACACAAAACAAGCCTACTGTTATCTACTCTTAAAGATTGCATTCAGTACAGATCTGCACTGTACTGATAATTTTGTACTGAAATGGTTCAGTACCAATACGTGTACCTTTACATCCCTACATCAGACTTTGTTTTCTTCCTCTGTCTTGTCCCCTCACCCCACAGGAGACAATTCCCTTCAACTCCCACTATTCCTAAAATCCCCTCATGGCAGATTCCTCTGAAGCCACCTTCAGCATCCGGCTCGCCGGCTGTTAACCACACCAACAGCAGCAGCGACATCTCCCCTGTGAGTAATGAGTCTGCCGGCTCCTCACCCATCAAAGATGGACACCACAGCCCACAGGATGCACTGGGAGGGCCTGATGGAGCTCATGGTATCAATCTAGATGTAGACACTGTGGGCCTCAGCGCAACCCTGCCACTGGATCTAAAGGACCAGGTCCGCATGGAAGTGCAGGGGGAGGAGAAAAAGGAGGAAGAGGAGGATGATGTCAGCCATGTTGAGGAGGAGGATCTAAGCATGCACGCAGAGGATCGGCGAGGTGGGGATGGACAGATTAATGAACAGGTGGACAAACTGAGGCGGCCAGAGGGTGCGAGCAATGAGAGTGAAGTGGATTAGACAGTGGAGAGCAGAAAAACACTCTCCAAACAGCACTTCTCATCTCTGCTGACAGCATCCTTTCATTCTGCTGCTCTGTGCCCGCTCTCATCCCGTTTGTTTGGTTTTTTTTCTAGATTTAAGTCCATCGCCACTGTCTTTTGCCACTTGTTTCTATATCATCTTAATCTTGAGCAAAATGAGGAGTAGGCGTGGGCGTGAGAAGAAGCAAAACTGACAAATATTGGAATATCTAGTTGACATATGGCTTACCTCAGTTTACTTTTCATCATGTAAGCAAAATGACTGCATGCCTAGCCAAGTGCCATGCTGTGACGTTTCTTTGAAATGAGAAATGACAGGCAATAGTCAAATCAGAATGACTTAAAAAGGCTGTATGCAGAAGTAACAGCGTGACTTACTGTTTTTAATTTTCATGATTTGATCAGATAATTCACAGTTTTGCCTTGGTGTGTTGCAATTATCCAGACCAAAGAGGCAGTGCTGCACAGAATCTCTCTGCTGCATAGTGCAGCTGTGGGTCAGGAGTCATATGTTGGTACTTCAGTCTCAAAGCTACCAGGAGCTTCCAGAGAAGCATCAGGACAATTTGTCTCCCTGTTGATGGCAATAGGAGAAGACAAGCTCTTCCAGGGCTGGAGCTTTTAGCCTCTTTTATGTGTCCTTTCGCATTGGTGTCAGTCTGTCAATAATTCACAAGGCCAGGAGGTTGGCATTTGGGTGAAATAAAAGCCCTGAAATTCGAGATTAGAACGTGATGACGGGCTTTGTTCCGTGCCGGTGTCAGAGTGCTCATACGCTCAAAGGAGAGGAAGATAAATGTTTTTTCCCCCCACTTTCCTTTTTCACTGAGGGCTGAATTGTGCATCTTTGTGTGTTTGTGCATGGCAGGCGAGAAAACCCAGACTGTCTGCTGAGCTGTGTCTGTGTCTCCAGCAGGGCAGCTGATTTGGTTTGTGAAGTATGTTAATAATCAAATGATCAACAAATAACAGATGTATTAGTTCATGCAGCTTGAAATGTCAAGCAGGCTAAAAGCGGAAATCTAATACAGAAAGCCCAGTTGCATTGTATTATTTTCTGTGACAAACCCTCTGGTCCAAATTACGTAGGGCCTCCTACAGTGAGTAATCTTTACAGAAAACGGCGCCAATATTTTGTAATTAAACTGCAGTAAGACGACGAGGGCTGCCACAGATGGAAGTTGCAGAACTTGTATCTTTTTTTTTTCACAGTGTGGAGGTGGATGGGGAAAGTTAAAAGAGAAAAAAAGCCCATGATTGAAAAAGAAAGTAATAAATGAATACTTGACTTATTGAATTACTCACTCTGTCTCCAGCTAACAAGAAGAGTCCATGAGTGAGAAGAAGGGATATCAGCTCTGCTGCCATTTCCACCTCCATCTCATGGTCTTCATAGGAACAGAGAAAAGGTAGAGGGTTGCTGAACCTTTGAGTCAGTCCTAATCTACAGATTGTTTTTAGTTGATCAGGTTTAGTAGAAATGAATTGGTATAGATGAGTAACGGTTAAAACAAGTTCAGAATCAAGAGATGTAATCTGTGCTTTTTAGCAATCTAGTGTCAGTCATTGGTCCTCTCTGTAACCTGCTGATCATCTGAATCCCACCAGTGTACATAAGTGTAATAAATTTTGCTGTGCAGTTTGGTTTCACTTTTTATCTGTGAATGAATGTGGTTGTGTATGTTCAGGTGCAGGGAGGGTTTCTGTAATATTATTCTGCAAATAAATCTTTATAGCTTTTTCTGTTTGACAAAAAATGTTTAGTAATATTACAATAAGTTTAGAAATGATAAAATCAGTTTCTGTTCCAGAAAAGAACCTTTTGTTTTGGGCCTTATACATCAGGAAATAACAGTAATGGAAATTCTCCCAAAAAAAAGTCTCTGAATAGCAGGTGATTCAAATATATAGGCCTTTGAATTGTTTAGGGTAAAGCTTCACACCTACTGTAATCTTTGTGGTTCCTGAGCTTTCTGGGTTTTACAGTACCTCTCCTAACCAGCTGTGATGCGTCCTTAAGACTGGGTACTGATGAGAATACTACAGTATTTTTGTATGTACTGTATGTGTAATCATAAATCACCCTTTATTGAATTTTCAGGAAGCATGACAGGGCAGGGACTTTCAGCCTTTTTTCAGTTTTCACTCTGTAAATGAGTAAGTGATACAGTTAATGTGTGAAGTTTTGTTTGTTTGTGGAGGTGGATCATCAGTACTTGTTTCCGTAGTGGGGCATCACCTTCTCAAAAAGGGTTTCCTCTTCCAATTTGAATGCATTCAAGATGTTAAAGACTATAATCAGTGGAATCAAAGTACCCTTCACTTTTTGCACACTTTGTGTTGTAGGTTTAATTTTAAATGGATAAAACAGCTGGTTTTGCCTGTGAAGTCTACCCAACATATGAAGCATGGTGGAAGCGGCATCACGCTGTGGGGTGCCTCTTAGCTGCAAAGACAAAGAGACTGGTCAGAATTGAGGGAAGAATGAATGGGGCTCTGATGTAAACCCCATGAAACATCTGTAGAGAAACCTGAAGGTGGCAGTTCGCAGACACTTTCCATCTAATCTGACGGAGCTTTAGAGGATCTGTCATGAAGACGGGGATAAACTCCCCAAATCCAGACATGCATAGCTTGTAGAGACTCGAGGCTGTAATCGCTGCCAAATGAGCTGCTAAAAAGCACTGAATCAAGGATTGTAAAGATTTTAAAGTTAGATTTTTAATAAAGTTGCCAAAAGTTTTAGAAATTATACTGATGTTTTGCTGAGTCATTGTGGATTATTGAGAGTAGACTGATGGAGGAAAAACTAATTTTATCCATTTAAAAATAAATCTACAACACAAAGGATGCAGAAAGTGAAGAGGTCTGAATATTTTCTAAAGCCAGAGTCTAGGCTACCATTTTTATACTTAAATTTATTTATTTTTTTTAATCCAACAGACTCTGAGACAAGGCAGAGAGACAGAAAAGAAAGGATAGGTAGTGTAGTTTAGAGACAAAAGGTAAGCTATGATTGTTCACAGTGATCTGATGTTACCAGGGTTTATTTTGTGGATCCTAAGCAAAAAGAGGGAACAGTCCCATTCAGTTGTTTGAAAATTACCCGATGAACTAACAACACTAGAAGTCTGTTGCCACACTAGATGCCCCGTGGGGCTCTAATGCTCACACCAAAACAAAGAACTGCTAAATATAGTAGATGCAGGATGTAGATTACATCGCTATGCTTCAATTCTTACCACTGATAAGTTGGTCTGAGGTGACACCAGTGAAAAGCCATGTTCCCCAGGTGTTGAGTTTCGTTTAGCATGTCGGTGTCAGTGTTGCTGTCAAATTTAAGACTAGTCTGTGCTGTTCTTTAGAGGTACAAAAGGCTTTTTACGCCTCTGTGTGCCAATAGCTCCATTCGGACCATTCTTCTTAATGCACTACATCAGGTATGCCTTAAGGGAATTTGTTTAAATTTGGCACAAACATCCGCTCAAGGATTAGATTTGGTGGTCAAAGGGCAAGGTCAGTGACCATGCATCTGTTTGATTTCTGTGAATTTAGCTGGTTAGCGGGGGCATACGACTGTGAAGCGGTAATTCTAGTTTCATATACAATATGCAGTAGAACTCCTAAAACCTGTAAGCAGGCTTTGTCAGACATTGTCAGTAGTTGTTGAGCAAATTTTCCCAGGAACAGAGTGTTGGACTAGTTGATACTTCCCTCTAGAAGTATACCTGACACATAGATTCATTTTGTTTTGTAGCAGAGTTTAAGAAACTATGTGAGCTGATGCACATTTCATACTGAGAATGTCAGCCCCAGTCATTTCTGGTGGATGTGGTTAGATTGCTGATGATTCTGCATTGATAGTACAACTTAAATCACACATTGCCACAGTTTATGACGAGGCAATTTTCTATAGTCTTAAAATACAAAGTCCTACCATACATCCTCATCCATAAGAAGAGCTGGGATGAAAAAGCCAGTATTTTTTTTTTTCCTCATATAGGGCATTCTGAATATTGCTGTGCATTATCAAGTGTATGATTTTAATTTATCAAGGTCTGAATGATCAATAGCATTTCGTGTATTGATGAGGTGTATAAACTTCTCTGAGGTTCGATACCACATCCCTTTGTAATCCATTAACCTCTCACTGGAGTTTAGGGCAACCTTAGATTTATAGGGACCCCCTGTAATAAATCCACTTGTGCATCATTTAGTGTCTTAGGGGATTTGCACTGCATTCCTGTTTAGAAAGCAGTCTCTATACTAACCTCATATTCTTATCTACATTTTAAGACTTTTGCTTACCTTTTCATAAACATTGTGCACATCGTACACACTTCTTGTGTGAAACTGGTGTATTCCAGTAGCAAGTAACCCGCACCTCTCACTGTAGAAATACAGCGAGGGATTGTTTGTCCAAAGCAACAGCTTGGTTTTGATACCATTTCGCTCCTTGGTTTAGAGCCTTAACCTCATCAACCTTGATGCTAAACAGAGAGCACTCAATAGAATAGTGTATTGATGCATTCTGAACTCCGTTGTTCACTGGAACTAAGCACTCAGCAGGTTAGAGGGCTGAGTGTCTCCTTGGATTAATACAAGGATTGTTAGCCCCATATCAGCCAGTCAGAGGGCTATCGTGGCTTTGTGTGCACCATATACATATCATCTCTACTCATTGAAGACTCCTGCTTGAGTCCTTGAAAGCTGATCCTGGTGCAGCTTTTGTTTTCTCATCACACTGATTTGGGGTCATTTACTGTACACCCCACATGGCTTCCAGGCATCTCTCCAAGGGGATGTGCCCTGCAGAAATTTGCATTGGAAAGGTCATGGAGAGGAAGCAGGAAGAGGAAGATGACATGCTTCTCATTCTGTGTCTTTGTGAGATAAGGTGCATGTTGCATGCAGCTCAGAGCAATCTAATTATGGCTGTACCCGACTAAGATTTTTGTCAGTTAACTGAAATTCTGCGGTTCAGTGTGACTATTCGACTGTTCACTCTGTGTGTGTGTGTGTGTGTGTGTGTGTGTACTGCCAGAAAATCAACTTGCATGATGAATTTCACTGATGATTTAGACCACATTAACATCGGTATTCAAATGTGAGGAATGATGGGGACATATTTCTGAGCATTTAGAAATCAATAAAAGCCAGCTGCATATGATACAAGATTTAAATTGCAACCTTTGAAATGTCTTAGTGAAATGCCTGACATTCTCAACAGTCTTCTCTGTACTTTGTATTTAATCAGTTAGCTAACAAAAGCATACAAAGTGTTGTTGTTGTGAGCATGTTAGCATTAAGTACAACCTCACAGCTGCTAGCATTGCTATCCACTCTTTATCTTGTTGAAAATATTGAGGGCTTCCAGTGGCCTAAGCGTTCTCTGACTTGTTTTTCTTCAGTAGTGTTTTCAGCAGTGAAAGTAAGGAAGCATGGGTCACCTCCAAAAGCTGTATGCGTCTCTCTCTAAAAGCAGCTCACCAGCTCTGAGCAGCCAATGAACACTGGCTCCTTCCTGGTGAAAATGAGAACATTTGACAAGCCAAGGTCACAAGGGGCTTTGCCTGTATAAGGCTTCAATTGCAGGGCCCAGTGAATACTGCAAAGTCATAAAGCACTTTGTCATCACTCGCTATACAAACTCTCAACAATCAAGTGGGATCACATTCCCTCCCTCCCGCTCTGTGTGGCCTGTGCCACTTGATTTTCTCCTGGCATTGTTTCAAATCCAAATGGAGTATGTGGATACTAGAAGGCTGTCATGTTGAAGGCTGTGGGGCCTCTTTTGAGCCTGAAGAAAGGATTTACTCACCTTATTGGCAGATGAAGGAAGGCACTGGTGAGGAGCAGTGAGGGAAAACACAGCAGGTTATATAAAAAAAAAAAAAACAGGGAGGTGATTTCTGACTGGTAGTATTTATGAATGGTGCAGTAATGAGCCATCAAGAGTGTGGTGGCCTTGAGACCATGAAGGGAGACAAGAAGTAGAAAAAATGAATGTGCTTGTCCTGTGCTGGTGGAGCGCAGCAACACCTTTGTGAGGAAATTGGATTATCCAAGAGAAGGCCTGTCAGCCCGCTGAGGGACCGCGGCTTCAGGCGGCGCAGGGGCAACAGGTGTGGAGCTCGCCAGCGTTTGTGCAAATTAGACTAATCACAGGACCTGACTGTGGAACACCTGAAGCAGGAGAGGGGTGGGAGGATGGGGGAGGGAGAAGTAAACAAAGGGGTATAGAGAGTCAGACCTCACGCTCTGTCAGTAGGACTGTTCTGTTTTGGACAGTATTCAGCTTAGAACTTACAGTATACAAAAACAAAACGACTCATGTCTGCTGCTAAACTACGAGCCTATAGACATAGTAGAGCTAAGTGCTTTGAGATAAATGGTAATGTTAACATGCTCACAATGACAGTGCTAACTAGGGATGCCCAATACTGTTACCAGTACCGCCCACTAGTACTTGCACTATTACTCGTAAAACTTGTCTGATACTATGCACTGATACATCTTAACGGCGACCTTATGTTAGCCTCACGCAGTTTGAGTAGCTCATTAGGCAATGGAAAAGAAATTTCAGCAGTTCAGGAATATTTTAAGGTACAATAAGTGACAGTGACTGCAAGTAAAGCTGACTGCG